ATCACAAATGTATCCTTCCCACTAAGAAAATATTTAATAGCCTGCCGTTGCTCTTCCTTGAAAGTTATTCCAAAATATGCAGCAGCATCATCTATCTTAGTATCTAGATCGAGGGGTCCGCAACTCCTATTTTAGGTGTACGAGATTAAGAGATTAACCAGATTTTTGAGATTATTTGAGATTATTTGGAAGATTACCAGAGATTTTTTTGAGATTTCCAAAATTTTTTTGGGATTATCAGAGATTTTTAAAGAGATTATTTATTAATAACTACTTTATAACTTTTAATATTTATTAATTAAAGTTAGTTAACCATTATAACTACTAATAATTATCAATTAAGGTTAATTAATTTTAATAAACTCCGGATACTAGCAGATATGGTGAGATTATTTTGAGATTTTTTGAGATTTTTAAAGATTATCAAGGATTTTTTGGGATTTCCAGAGATTACTGGAGATTTTAAAGATTAACAGATTATTATAGATTATTTTCAAGGGTGTACGGGATTATTTGGAGTTGCGGACCCCTCGATCTAGATCCATCTTGAAGACTTGAACTGTTTAATTAATGGTTTGCTATAAAGTTAATTAAAAGGAAATGACGTAATACTCTGTCACTGCAGAAATCTTGCAGCAGAGAACAAGATTGATATACACGGTGTTCCTGACCCTCCTCTCCGTGCAAGGGTCAGGCCACGCCTGACTAAGTTGGACCGGCATTCCCCAGGGACATTCCCCAAGCTATCCACCAGATATGTGTGAATGAGATGCATGATATTCATAGACTGTTTATCTAGTTAAGTGGTTAGTGTACACCCCCACCGCCATTGATTAATTTTAGCACAACTCAAAGGTATCCATTTTTAACTCCTCCACCCAAACAATATGGCAGGGAAGAGAACTCCAGAAATTATAATTTTTGATAAAGAGAAAGAAGAAAAGAGAGAAGCTAAAGGAAAGAGTAGGTTATCTAGACTTAGAGGAAGAGGAACTATCAAAGAAAAGGTAAAAATATTATGTATTAGTATGGCTTCATGTATATGTATTATTAAATGGTTACTAATGTAACATGTGCTTTAATTAGAATGATGTCGAAATGAAGATACATTCGCTAAGCATGCAGAAACAAAGACTGGAGACTGAAGGTATTAACATGAAGGAAATGAGGAAAGACATTAGATCACTTAGTAAGAAATTAACAATGTCAATCTGTGTATGAACTTGTAATTTTAAGAGCACTAAAATTTGTTTTAACATTAAAGTATATATATAGTCTCTCAAATTTTAATATATTCTGCTGATATCTCACCTCTCTCTTTCTCTCTCTTTCTCCCTCTTGGTCTCTCTTTCTGTCTCTTTTTTAATTTTCCTCTCTCTTTCTCCCTCCTTCCCTCCCTCCCCCTCTCTCTCCTCTTTTTCTCCTTCTCTCTTTTCTTTTTAGACTCTAGTACATTAGAGGGTGCTAGTAAGAAGCAAAGTTGACATTGATTACATTAAGTCTTTAGGAGGAACTGGGCCTAAACCAGTTGTAATACCTTACCCACACTATCTT